AAAAGATACCTGCACACGTATGTTTGTTGCAGCTCTATTCACAATAGCAAAAACATGGAACCAACCGTGTTGCCCATCGAAGCTGGACTGGATAAAATATATGTGGTATATATACACAATGGAATATTATGCAACCATCAAGAAGGACAAATATATGGACTTTGCAGCAACTTGGGTGGATTTGGAGCCGATCATACTCAGTGATTTATCACAGAGACAAAGAACAGAATTCCATATGGTCTCACTCATAAATGGACCTTGAACAATTATAAAGCTATAAGAAAGCAATTGGCAGTAGTGAGAAACTGTCAGTGGGGGGGATGGTATTGGCAGTTGAGGGAAACTGCTAGGGGAGGGAGGGGCATACCTCATCAACAAGGGTACCTGCATGATCAATGTTTGTATACCTAACCCTGAAATGTACCCCACATCTTTATAATAAAAATAAATAAATAAAATAAAATACAAAAGGAAAACTAGTCAAATAATGTTTCCACTAAGAAAGTCTGCTGTGATTTCTTTACCACTTTAATGGTGAAGAAGAATTAAAGACCAAGAGTCTTACTTGAGTAGGGACAAAAAGTGATTGAGGGGAATGATTGAGGCCTCCCAAATGCCCAGATGAAACTGATGAATTTGAGCTATAGTGATTCACGGCTGGTTGTGGTTTCACAATGGCTGTCAACTTCAGATTTCCAGTTTCAGAGCGACTCCCATGAGAAAGGTTCACCAAGGCACTTGTTGGCAGTCGATACCCTCTACCAGGTGAGCACCTAAAAGTAAAAAGTTGTATCAGGGTCAGAGGAAAATAATATTAAATGTGCTAGAGAAAAGAGTCAAGTAATTTTGGGGTGGACAATCCATTATAAGAATTATATTACTTCTAAATTCAGTAAGGAAAACGTGAAATCATAGAGAGATCTCAATTTTAAGATAATACATTTCTGAAAACGTTCCTAATACTCCACTCAGTATTTACTATGTGGAACAAACCAACACTGTTGCAGGTTTTGTGTGTGTGTTGCTTTGACTTTAAGAAGTTTGCATTTTAATCTCTGAATATAACTGAAAACTTATAAATTAAATGTTAAACTTCTTAAAACTGTGGTTTGTAGAGTCTGAAATATGAAAAACTAGGAGCTACCTGAGTGTAGAACCATTGTCAGTGTGGTTCTTCCTAAGCAACAGGGTAAATGTGAGCTTTGATTTGTCTACTATCAACGGTTGAGTCCAGTCCTTTTTTATCCTCACAGTCCCATCTTAAAGTTCTTGGCCTGGATCTGGGAAGGCTTAAGAGACACGCATTTGTGATTTCCTTCCTTGATGGCCTTGATAAAAGTGTAAGACACTAAAATAAGCCTCTCTTGTCAAAAGTTTTCAACACGATTGCCTAATATTTTTATATTTGAAAATTCAATTTTTTAATATTGAGAGACAGTAGAAAAGTAGAGTTATTTATGAATAACTCTTTGTAAATTCAAGGTTGCTAGAAAGTGTCTATTTTCATGAGAACCGTAATTACTAGATTCTGAAACCTGCCCAACTTCCCTACAGAACTAATAGTTACAGTTTTTTTAATAAATATAGAAATTGCTCTCTGGATCTTAAAGCTTGAAATTTACATGAGTCTTATCTGAGTTCCTTTCTCAGGAAATCAATTCTCAGGCCAATAGCATCAAGAAACTGAAACTCACCAGATGACCGCATCTAGACAATAAGATGCCGGACCTCAGATTTCTACTATTTGCCACCTCCTCTTCCTTACCCCTCCCTAGCTCCTGTTTTCTACATTCCTGCCCCACTATATAAATCCGTGATTTCAGTGGGGTGGGGAGTCAGATTTTAGACAATCTTCTATTTTCCTTGGCTGGTATCACCTAAATAAAAAGCTTTCTTCCCTGGCAATACTCATTATTTCAGTGACTGGCTTTCTGTACAGTGAGTAACAGGACCCAGACTGAACCCCTGGTGTTTGGATAACAATTTTGCTTTATGCAAATGAATATACTGTCGTGAAGTAATCTTTTACCCAGTCCTCTATCAGTTAAGAAATTTACTGCCCTTAACTAGGAGGAGGAAAAAGACAAGGAGAAAGAAAACATAAAAATAAATTTAAACCATATTTTGAAAGCTAGTAAACCAAAATTATTAGTAATCAAAATATTGTCTTTAAAAATAAAATCAAGCCAGGCTCGGTGGCTCAGCCTGTAATCCCGTGCCTTTGGGAGGCTGAGGTGAGTGGATTGCCTGAGCCCGCGGTTTGAGACCCGCCTGGGAAGGTGAGACCTCATCTCTACAATAAAGCAAAAAATTAGCCGGGTGTGGTAGTGCGCGCCTGTAGTTCCAGCTACTTGGAAGGCTGAGGTGGAAGGATCCCCGGAGACCAGCAGTTCGAGGCTGCAGTGGCCGGGAGCGGCCACTGCACTCCAGTCTGGACGACAGAGTGAGACTCCAACTCAAAAAAAAAAAAAAAGGAAAAAATCAGATAGAGGATCCAGATTGTGTCACTGCATGTGAAAAGTACAGAAAGGAATATGCTTTGTGTCACATAAATATTCAACTTGCAAAACAATAATAATGGCATCTTGAAGGTGGTCATATGGTATAAGTGATGCCAGGTGGTGTGGGGTGTAGTTGCTCCATGAGTCTTTGGCTTGTTGCAGAAAGGAATTTCAGAGCAACAGAGTTTGTTTATTTATCTATCTATCTATCTATTTATTTATTTATTTTTTGAGTTGGAGTCTCGCTCGGTCGCCCAGACTGGAGTGCAGTAGCCGCTCCTGGCCACCGCAGCCTTGACCTGCTGGGCT